TCTTCATCTTCCACCCATGCCGGTCTTTATCGAGCATGATAAAGGCTCCTCTTGACCCTCTCGTCAACAAGTTCAACAGATTGATTTTACATCTCCCTTTGGAAATGACTGAAATTTCTCATCGTAATGCCATGGTGCTTGGATTTTCTTTAGTTTTTTTCCTCGGCCTGAAGGAATATTTGGGTGTCGGGAAGAAAAAATGAGCCGTTCTCCACTTCCTCTTTATTTTCTGCCTTTTTACTTCGCCCCACAGTAAATTTGCTACCAGGCAGTGGTGCTGGATGGAGAGGACTGAAAAGTCAGAACTGGCTGTTGACTCGATGTGATTTTGTACAAGGGAGGTGCCCCAGCAGCTCTTGTGCTGCGGCAGCATTTCCCTTTACTGCGAGTAGGAAATAAAAAATGGCAGGTGCAGACAAGACTGACTTTCGTTCGTGGTGATCCCAAGTCAGAGCCAAACGGCCGATCCAGGGGTGAAAAACTCAGCGTCTAATAACCAATACCTTGACCCATCCATCCTCCCAATGCACTGCTCTTACTACTCCAGCCTGCGCGGTGTAGACAGCAGTAATCTCATCTGCGGTGAAGGACGAGGCAGCAAGGCTGAAGATGGGAATGAAACACGCTGACTTTAATTTCCTGGCTTTTGTACTGCAGGTCCCTTGCTCCGCTGTTTCTTTCATGCAGTGTAGTGGGACTTGAATCACTTTAATAATGACTAACATGCTACTCCAGGAAGAGATTTCCACCAGCTTTGCTGTAAAAAACCGCCAGCACAGGTGCCTGGTGCACTAACCTATGCCGTCATTGGTTGTCAGGCTAATAGACAACTTTTTTTAGTCTCAAGGCACCCTTTATTTGACTCAAAGCCCATCCCTCTTCCCCTCAAAAATGCCAGATCTTAGTCTTTACTTGTTTCTTGATTAAGGAAAAAAAGTAGAGCAATTCTTCTGTTGTGAGGAACTCAAAATGAGCACGGTACATCGGAATGTTTTTTTAAACTAAATTTCTATTTGAAATCTCTGGGTTTATTTTGTGAATCACAGGTAAGGTGTTTGCACACCTAACAGTGCTAATATTGTGCAGCACCCCGCTGCACCCTTACAAGGGTCACACGGGACTGGTTGAGGATTGCTTTTGCAAATTTGCATTAAATACTATGGCTGAACCATGTTTTTCCTCTTGCGATCTCGCCTTGATATTGCAAAAACAAAATACAGCAGGTCATTCCTAATATGCATCCAATTTGCCATCCAAAAATGCAACTCTGTCAGAGGACAAGATTATCTTGGCCCGTTGCTTGGACCTGTGCTGGTTATTGCAACCACAGTGACGAAGGGAAATGAAACAATCTGGTTTTGCAAGCGGTTTCACTTCTGTTGTAGCATGGCACCAGAGCAGCCCGAGATAGGAGCACTTATGCTGGACCTCTTGGTTCTTCCTCGTGCCAGGCTGCAACAGAGCCATTTAAGTTAGCATTTATCTATGGGCACGAAGCTGTCCCGTATGAGTGAGAGCAGCACGGCTTCTCTGTAAATAGCCAAACTGCATTTAAAAATACTGGCATTTTATGGTAGGCCCGCATAATGACATTCCCACTTCTGGTGTGCATCACACTCATGTGTTTAAACCATGTTGGCCATTCAAACAAAATGTTTGGTGGGAATGTGCCAGTTCAGGCCAAGTGTGTAAGTGAGTAAAACGCACACAGATGCACACCAATGACCTTGTGATCAGACCGCCAGGAATATCTGGACTCACTTCCAGTCTCTGCCAGAGGCAGACCAAGTATCTGAACCTATCTCTCCCCTACCGCAGATGCCCTAGCCACCACGTCTGTTGTTCCCAGTCTCTATCGTATCTGGCGGAGAACTGAAACATCTTGCTTTCATCGTCCCAAAAGAGAACGGGAACATTTTTCAAGCGACGGAAAGCCTTGCAGACCAGGAAAACCCTCTCTTATTCTGCTCTGCCCGTGACACGGGCAGCAGAATTGGTGAGCCTGCAAATCCCTGTGATGGCTCTGTTCTTCCCTGTGCCTACCGTGACATTTCGGGGCCTGAAGATGCCTCTTTTGTCACTTCTGTGGTCCTGTAATTGTCCCTACGCCCCTCGCAGGCCGGTTGGACTTCGCCCAGCACTATCCAAGCAGTGTGCTAGCTGAAAGCAAAGCTCCCTAAGTGCCACGGGTGGGGCCCAACACACTGTGAGGTCTCTCCCAATGCTATGATTCAAGACCCGTAATCAAACTGGCCCCAAGGGGCTTTTGACAACTGAGCTGTAACCGGATGAGCAGTGGATTAGAGCATTAAATGATAGTGTCACATTTGTTACCTCTGCACATTTTTAATTGCAGCAGGATGTTAGTAATAAACACTGATATCCGTCGTGCATCAATCTTAGAAAGGTCAGTCGAGGTATTAAAGCCTGTGTGGTTGCAAGAGGCTGGACCTGGTGGCCCAAAAGCTCCCCTCCAGCCCTACGCCTCTGTCTCCTCTAGTGTCACCGTAAGTAGCTTGCTATTTATCACGTGGCATTGCAAGAGACAGCCCTGCACGACAGAGGAGCGAGATCACCTCGTTCCCAAAAAAGGAGACTCCAGCCATCGGCTGTGTTGCAAAAACGATTATTTTCCCCGTTGGGCAGAACGATTATTTTGGTAATGGGGCTTGAAAACGGACAGGATCAAATTTCCAAATCTAGTCACGGTGCCCCCCAACACGTCCCGTTAATCCGCCAGATGCATGAACAATTATGATCGCTGCGTGCCGAAATCGGGCATCTAACTGCGCAGCTGAGAACGCAGCGAGGAAAGGTTGAATCCTTTCTTTCTCTGAAAACTGCTTGCGTCTACTCGGCAGTGAGGAGTATAGTACGCAGCTTCACCGAGATGAGGCGTGGGGTCACCAGAATCTAACGAAATATGTACAGGAATAATCAAATTTTGCATTGACGCGGAGGAATGGGGAAAGAAGGGACGTCCTACAGAAGCTGCAGATAGATGAGTGCTAGGCCAGGGTCCCTGAAGTCAAAGCGAGACAAGAAATCCTCAGGAACGGTAGTAACAAAACCCCCAGAGATAATGAAAGGGAGTAGAGACCGTGAAGACGTCTGCCCGAGACGGGGAGGACCAAGGAGCGGGTCTGAGATGAATACGTCACGGAGATGGGCAGGTGCCCACGAAGGGAGCAGCATCTTTCAACATTACGTCTCGCCCCGGGCTCTACAGCATCCCAAATTCAAGCATTTGGCTTCAGCCAAATAATTTTCCAAGCCCAAATGTCTTTATTTAAGCTGTTTCTTCTCCCTCCACAGCAGAAGTGACACTAATTAGAGGGTGTTAATTAATAGTTATTTGCAAATCCTTTATTAAGAATTTAAATAATCAGTGCGTCTCCATCGGGGTTTCTGTAATACAGGGTAGCTTCCAGTGCCTGGGTCCTTTGCCACCAGACACCCTCCCTTCAGCGAGAGCTGACATTCAGACTGGTTCTTAGTTAAATATCCTGAACAGCCTCTGAACAAGTGCCCTGGCTGTTATTCAGGGAGGTTGGTTGTAGCCGTGTTGGGCTAAGGACACAGGCAGACAAGATTGCTTGGGTAAATCCGATATCTTTTCTTAGACCAACTCAATAGTTGGAAAAATTGATCTTTGCAACCTTGCAGGTACAAACACCCTTCTTCAGGCAGAGGGAGAGTTTACTCTGCCTGAAGAAGGGTGTTTGTACCCAAAAGCAAAAGACAATTTTCCCCAACTATTTAATCGGGCTAATAAAAGATATCACACATCAACCCGAAGAACCTTGCCTGGCTGTTATTTGCCTTCTGGATGTGCACTTGCAAGAAACTGCTCTCCGAGAGTTGGACCCGATCCCCACCACGGCTGTCACCTCGGCATCAGCAGGATACCAGGTTCAAGATATTTCCTGCCTGGTGCAGGGGGCTGGACCCAATGATCGTCCGAGGTCCCTTCCAGCCCCTAACATCTATGAATCTATGAAAGATAAAGAGCATCGCTCACGCAGGGAAAGGGACTGTACCTGCCCACAGCTTGCTGCCTCTATGAGATCTGCCCCCACGTCACGGCAGCTTCTGCTTGCTAACCTTGGTGCCCATGCTTGTAACACGGGGACCTCCATCCCCGCGCTTTCAAACCATAACTTTCAAGGCAAGTCAGGCCTGCCTCTTTGCCATGCCCGGGACCATACACCGCATAGGCCCGCTGTGTGTGCAGCCCGTGGCCTAACTGAGCAACGTACCTACTTTCCAGCGGCACTGAGCCCACGCCCAAGGGCTGTTCCTCAACTCCAGCACGCGTATTGAGGGTGGTATAGAAAGAAATTGTTGTGAGCGCTACCATAGTCATGTTTTTCGTGTAGGACAGGGATCTCGGAGTTTAGCCTTCCTTTCCTGCATCGATTCTGACTTCCTAACCAAACCTGGAGGAACCAAACAGCTCCTCGGCCTTTCACAATTTGAATGAACTTGTCTGGGATCCCGAGACGGAGGGGTCTGTCGCTCTTTAGTTTCTAACCTGCTTATCAGGCTCTGATTTCATAAGGGATCATCAGGGGAACAATCTCTGGAGGCTAAAGATGAGCAACCCACTGGCCCAGGAGCAAGGAGGTGGGTTTTATCGCCAACCCTGCCACCGATTCCCTGTGTGACCTGGTGACAAGTCACATCACTTCACCCCACCTCCGGTTTCCCATGGGACAGGGTGACGCTTCCTTCATTTCACCAGGGGATCAGGACGCGTCATGCATTACTGTCTGCAAAGAGCTCTGAGATCCTCGGGGAAAAGAAGCGGAGTCGATCCGAAGCACGGCGTCGCGACGCAAGTGTCGTCTGCGAGCTCATCACGTCACGGGGCCCCTGGGTTTTGTTTTCGGGGCGGGGCTTGCACAAAACGGACAAAAGATGACCACCTATTTTCATCCCGCTCCCCGCCCTTGCAAAGCCCCCCCCGGGTGTTTTGCACGCCACGTGGGAAAACGTACCCAGAACGCGGATTTGCATCACGGCTCCGTGCAGACCAAAGAACATCCACAGGGGCTGGGAGCAGTCCACGCAGACCTGCATGCCGGCGCCGGCCCCGTTGTGACTCAAATGCAGCTCGCCCTCCGAGTTCACCACAAATCCCAGGATGTCTCCGCTCTGCAGGGGCACCAGCACCCGGCAGACCGCCCAGAACTCCTTCCTGTCCACCAGAGACTCCGGGTTATACGGGAGGTCGCTGGGTCTCAAGGTCCCGGGGTCGCAAGAAGTCACCCCGTACGACAGCGTCCCGGTGCGCGAGGCGTTCGATTTGTTAATTTTGACGAAAATGGTCTCGTTGATTCGGAGGGGCCTGCTGGTGAAAACCAAAGTCCTCTCCTCGCGGGCGTGCTCCAGCCGGGCCACGGTTTGGTCGTCCAGGATTTTGATGTGGGCTCCCCGGAGCTGGTGGAAGCGGAGGTCGCTTTCGAGCTGGGACGGGAGGAGGTGGGAGTGCTGGGAGTTGAGGGAGTTTTGCGGGATGGGGCACGTGGTGGCCATGACGTGGAAGTTTTCCTCCTGGAGGTTGAGGTCACAGAGGCTCACCGAGAGCCGTGTGTCCTCCGTGTCTCTGCGCAGCGAGGGCCGGCGGATGGCCGTGAAGGATCTGGGGCGCAGGCAGTCGGGAGGAATGATTTCGCTGTCTGCAAAGCAAAAAGAGAGAGAGAGAGAAGGAAACGGATCAGTCAGGAGATAATGAAACTATCCAAGAGTTAATGAATTGCTCTCGGTTTGAAGGGAAAAGAAAAATAGCAGGGAGAGGCGCCTTCCAGTAAATTTCCCTTTCTTTTTTTTTTTTGGAGCAGAGCAAACCGAAGGGCATCGAATACGCGTGCAAGTCTGTGCTGCCCCTGCGCTCTCCCCACCGGACCCACCCTCATCGCCGTTCATGCGCCGGCGGAGGCAGACTCAAAATCAATGCAAGGAATCGACTGCGGGAGGGACGCAGAGGGCACAAAGGAGCCCACCGAGCGGGGGGCACCCCCCTAAATGCACCAGGGAATGGATGCGGCTCCGAGCTATTAAACCGTGTCCACATCCCCACTCCCAGGGCTCTGCGAGGAATACCCAAGCTGCTACTTGGATCTTAAAACAAATGCTTGCCTTGCAACTATCGACCCTCTTCGTCATTTATTACCACTCGATCATTAATATTTCCAGAGAGAACGAATCGCCAGCCTTCCTGTGTTTGCAGAAAGCCCGCCTGGAGGCGGGTAACGTCGCAGCGCGGAGTTTGGGAACGAGCCGTTTTCTCTAAAGAAAGCCAAATCGGTCGCTAGCTCCAGAACAAATCATTAAAAATCAAACCACCGGATACGTAACGGGGACGGATGACGCAGGCCCATCCACATCCATCAGAGGACAAAAATAAATTGCACGTTCGCCTCTTTGTCAGGCTCACCTGCTGCTCCCATTTATCTGATCATCAATGTATTTAATTCCTCTGCTAAAGAATCCAGCCAGCTGCCTCGAGCGCCTCGATTCCTCCCGTTCAGCCCAGCCCAGGCTACCAGGTCAGTTTTAAAGGGCAATAAATGAAGGAAAAGCGTGGGTTCAGCTTGGACGACAAACCCGCTCCTGGAGCTGCACCTGTGCTGAGCTTGAAGTATCGTGAGGAACCTCCTTGATTTCCACAGAATTAATGGGAGTGCAAAGATGCTTCACAGCAGGCGAAGTTCAGCTTTTGCAGGACTACGGGGACGTGCAAGGCACGGCGCACGGCCTTCCTCAGCACGAGGCCAGGGACCTCACAAGAGACCCCTGGGCAGAAGGCTCCCATCCCCAGGTTTGGAGCATCCCCCGGGCTCTTCAGCCCCGTCGCGGATGCCCACCGGGCAGGGGAAGGTGCCACGTAGCCTTGCCCCACAGTGCCAGCGCTGAAGACGGCCCTTGGGATTTAGTGCAAGCCACAGCCTAGAGCTGAACAGCAAGTCGTCTCATTGCATTGGTGCAGCGGCACCAAACTCCCAGGTTCGGACAAGAAGCAAGTCCAGTATCAGACGCGGCACAAGAAGAAATCAGGTGAGCAGATGAATCGGAAGCCATCTACTGGACAGGACTGCCGAGCGAACACCTCTTCTTGCTTTTACGGCCAGCATCGAGCGGGGTCGGAGGGGAAAGAGGGCGCTGCCAGGAGGATGTGCCCACCACAGCCAAGGAAAAAGACCAAGAGCGTGCCTTGCAAGGTCTCACCGGTGGGTAGAGATAGCTGCAGGCACCACTTTTGCTTGCTTGAAATGCACTGGCACAGCCTTCGAAGACGCTAGAAATCCTACGGGCCCCCCCAAGCCCCGGTCCCTGCCTCGCACAGCGGATGTGAAGCAAAGCATGTTACTTAAAACCCCGAATCTGGACCAGGCTGCCAGGACATCCTTTCAGCTGCGGGGTGCCACGCAACGGGTGTGCGAACGCGATTCGTGCAATACACCCAGAGTTTTCAAACCGGGATCCACAGCGTGAAGGCCGTTCTGCCCGGTTGTGGCCTTTCCGAGCTCTTTACGACAGAAGAGCTGCCCTATTTTTATTCCGTATGCAAAAAAAAAGAGAGTGAAAACCAAGAGCCGGCATTTTCTTAGGGGTGCCTCCAGTCTAGAAAAGGTCGAGAACTGCTGGCTTAAAATATTGTAAAAATTCTCACAATTCAAAATGCACGACGTGCGGGTCTCCTTGCATTGCCTCCCCCGCACGTTAGCATCACTTCCTCTTCCTCCCTTCTCAACCGGCTAGGAGCAGAACAGACCCTGAAATTACCCTGGCTCGTTTAGAGGGCGTGATTGTATTAATTAATTCTTCCTAATGCATTAGCAGCCAGCACGTAGGCCACCACTGCCCTTTGCCGGGTAGAACTGGATGCATTTTGTTCTCTGATGGCTGGAAAGCCTGAGCAGGGAAAAAACGAATGCCGGCAGCCGATGAGTTTCTCTGGCGTAGGTGAACTGGTGGAGACCTTTTTGCATAGGAACAGAAGGCCCTTTAAATTGTATTCCCCTTAACGAGAGATGTGCAGCCGAGCTGACAACCGTGATGCGCGGGTAGCTCGCAGCAGGGGTTTTGAAGCGGCTCGTTTTCCGCAAGGTTGCTTCGCGCTTCCCTTCGGCAGCTGGACAGATCATCTTCCGACTGAAAGGAGAAGACTTCTTTTGCGTGCGAGACACACGACAGCGGTAGCGAACTGATCCTAGCGGCGGCTAATCACGCTTGTCCTTAAGCAAGTTAGTCGATCTATCGGGGGTCCTGCCACGTATACAAGGGTCTTCGTATTTTTGTGGCTCCCCCAGGGGAGATGGGGAGGCCCAGGTCATTCATCTCCGTCGGGGTCTTTGGATGAAAGGGGCCATAGGGTTGTGAGGACATAAAAGGGATTTATGAACGTGCAGAGGGGGAGTGGACCCTGGAAGGGCCCCGAGCTTTGTGTCTCATGAAATATGCAGCTCGCGGTGGCCTAGAAGTTTGCCAGCCCCGACACAAAGGCGTGAACCACCAGTGTCACGCGTGACTTCCTTCCGCATCCCAGTGCCCATCCTGGAAGCACCCCAGCAGCTGCAGGATCGAGCCCACCGCCGCCGGGTCTTCAGGGCACGCACCATCCGTCGGGCTTGCGTGTGTACAGCGCTGCTGAAATGCCACCGCTTGCTCGCAGTACGTGGCACTGCCACGGGGTGCGTGTGGATGGAAGAATGAGCTACCGGGGAGTAGCTCTTCTGAATAAGCGAGCGTGAAGCACGATGACTGCAAAGCATGCTTTAAGACGCTGGGGTTCAGGCTCGCGACCTATCGTTCAAGACTGGTTTACATCACGAAACAACACTGCTCCGGAGAAAAAGAGGAATGTAGGAATTACAAGATAACAGGAAAACACTGAGTGCATCGGGGTGGGGGGGGCACGCCTGCCCGCCTGTTAGCAATTACAAGGGACTGGCTCTGAATTCGCTTGAATCCGTGTAAACTCTGCTGAAGGCAGGGTAGAGATGCACCTTGTAGACTAAATAAGATACACAGAGCATAAGCTTTCGCACATTCGAGCTCACGTCACCTATACCGTGCTTGTCTACCTTACCTTCTGCCTGACTTCAGGTTAGCGTGGCGAACTACCTTTCTCAACTCTGCTGAAGCTGCCGGAGCTAAAAAGGGAGCATGACCAGGAGTTCACTTGTGTACGCCTCTTCTTCGTCGCGCCCGGATCTATTTCCTCACCTTCTGTCTCATCTTTCTGGGGGGTTTCGGCCCTTCTTCTCTTCTCGAACCCCTCCTCCTCGCTGAGCAATTTCATCTTGCTAATATTGCACTGAACGTGGGCACTCCTTCTTGAGCTTTTGCAACTAAACCCCTGGAAGGTTTCCAGGCCTCGAAATGCCCGCTGAAATCGGCAGCGGGAGCAAATGCTCTAAGTTTTGTGACTGTATTGAAAGGCCTGGTACCCCTCGAACATCGACCTCCCGAGGATTTGTACCATTCTGCTGATGCTACAACACGGGGAGCCCATGCCGCACCCAGCACCCAGGCTCCTCTTCAAGCTCTCGGGGCTCCTCGAAGAAAAGCCGCTCGCTGGGGACATCCTTGCCACGCTTAAGCAACTCCACCCCCCCCGTTGATACTAGAAGCGGCGTGGCCGAAACATGGCTGGCAAGGCTTTGGAAAATAGGGAGAAGTGTTTGAAATGGAAAGCAGATGAGCCAGGCTGTGAAATGCTGCACTTGCAGTGGTTTGGCAGAGCGAGCCGTCTTTCAGACGAGGAGCACAACTGGCCATGTGTGGGGATTCGAGACGTCGCAGCCCTCGCTAGCAAAACAGAGATAGCAATGCTGGCAATTTAAGCAAATTCCAGCTCAGACCTCTGTCTCAGTAACTTGCCGCCGCGGTTCTTCTGTGGCTTTCTTTGCTTCCCATGCTAAATTGGTTGTGCAGCGCTGATGTGCACTATTGGGCAATTACCTCATTTGAGGCCCGCAGTGGCCAAACTGATTTCTTTTGCTTCATTTATAACTCAATTTGCAAAGTGCTCGGGGATGCCCTGAATATGGAACGCTGCAAACGTGAATGATCATTTCACCGTCATCGTCGTCATCATCATCATCATTCACCGCTCCAAGTGGAAGGATGGAAATGATGGAGAGGGAACAGCAGTCGACGACGGGTTCGGCACGTTGGCTCCCAGAAGCCCTAGGGATCCCAGCCTCCACACAATGCACACGTGCTGGCATTGCACCCCATGCAAAGCCATCTTTGCAAAATAAGAGGGAATTAGTGACGTTGATGGGTCAGAGTTTGCACCCGGTCAAGGAGCAATGGGCTCAAGTTGCAGCAAGGCACATTGAGGTTAGATATTCAGAAGAATTATCTCACTAGGAGGGTAGTAAAATGCTGGAACGGGTTACCCGGAGAGGTGGTGGCATCTCCATCCTTGGGGGTTTTCAAAACCCGGCTAGACAAACCCCTGGCTGGGATGATGTAGTTGGGGCTGGTCCTGCTTGGAGCAGGGGTTGGACTGGATGTGAGCTCCTGGGGTCTTTGCCAACCCTCATTTTCTATGATTCTAAGTGAAAACCTCCCAAATTAAGAGTTTTGGCACCAAGGTTTTCACTTGGCCATTATATCCACAAATGTTTGAAGTTCCCCCAGAGTTTCACCAGCGTTTGGGCCCATC